GTTACACTTTATTTTAAGGTGCTCTTGTTACAGTGTAATTATACAGTTAGGTAATGAGTGATATTATTTTAATTAAAAACATGTACTTACTATAGGGTTATAGTCAGAATTAGGGTTAGTTGCTTGAAATTATGCGCAATTTACTGTTATTACTATAGTACATATCTGTATGATGTGTAACAAGGACACTAAAATAACGTGTTGGGGAAGATTGCACTTTTTATCATTTTCTTATTTTTATTTTGGTACCTAAATATTCATTTAAATTGTGTTAATGCTGTAAAGAGCAGTAAGTGGTCACTAATGTCTAAAATTTTTTTTTTTAATGTACTTTGTAACAACAGCTGTTCTATCTAGAGTGTCTTTTTTATGGGGAACAAGCAACAATCACTTTTTAAATTATCAAAGGGAAAATGCAAAATATTGAGATATATATTGAATATTGTAAAAACTTGGGAAGATACTGAAATATAAAATCACCCAGCCCTTGTGTGCACGTCTAAAACTCACCCAGCAGCGGCTGGTCGGACATGCAGGTAGTTTTCCTGAACAAATAGTGGTGCTAAAGAGTAATCATGGAAGAAAAGGTCTGATTTGTCAATCAAAGTCATGTGGGCGCTTTCCTCTCCTGAAGCAAACACCTTCCGACACACATCAAATGGACCCTGCATGTGTGCAAAACACACAGATAGTGTCATTCACTACAGCCTACTCATCTCATCAATGCACCAATGCTTGTACAGTGTGTGTACTGTATAATGTATTTAACAGTGTGCACATATACCAGTTTCATGTCCTTCCTAGCATTGTTAGCATCAGCTTTGGCCTGGTCATAGGTCATGACTTTGTCTTTAGCTGACCACATGCTTAGATTATGCAGTACCTAGAAGCAGAAATATAATAAGCACCAAACTGATAGAGTAGACACCGATTTGTTTGTTAATGTCATACCTGACGAATATCATGATTGGACGCCAGGATGACTTCATTAAGCGCCGGGGGTGGGATCTTCAGACCCTCTTTGAAAGCTATAGACATTATAGCCCCCTGATTGGACAAAGAGGAAGCTTAAACATTTTTGACCACAATAAATGATCTTCATTTGGACAACTTTAAA